TCAAGGTGTTTTTAACTCCTTAGTGAGGGAATCAGGATATAGAAAAGTTGGTTTAGAGGAGGATACTCTATAGGACACATGTAGTTAATGTCCTACAGGACAGTAGAACCTCAGCCTTTGGGGTTATCTTTTTTTTAATGGAAAACATTCGCATCTGTACCAGGCTAAAATGATTTGTAATTTATCAGTCTTCTTTCTGTAAGTCATCATCTAACTTTAGAGAGTCTGGGCACCAATCAATAGTAGGTAGTAACCGAACAATGTTACCTCCATGGTAGCAAACTATGGCTCGTGGGCCAGGCACCAGTTTTTTGTGTTTTTTTGTAAATATATTTTTACTGGAACACAGACTGTGTCCATTCAGGTCCATTCAGTTGTGTATTACCTGTGGTGGCTTCTGTGATGCAGTGGTGGAGGCAGGTAGTTACGACAGACACCATCTAGCCTGTGAGCCTAAAATACTTGTTCTCCGGACCATTACAGTGAAAATTTGCTTACCCTGGCCCCAGAGTGTTAATGATCCTTGGTGCACAATATAACATTAAAAGGGCGTGTAGAATCTTTTTGTCTTATTTCCAAATTGTAGATAATTTTTCTTGATACCAGATGGAGGCACTTACATTCTAGAAAAACACCGCCTTAGTGTACTCCCTTCTCGCCACTTTCGTATATGCCCCTTGTCGCTAGTGCTTAAGGCAGTGTGGCCTGGAGGTGACTCTGCATTTCCAATGTAAGCATCTTACTGTCATTTTTTCCTTCTTTATATATGTGACTTAGGAGGGTCAGGATAACATACTTCAGCAACTTAACCGTTTAGGTGTTTCTGGATCTGAACAGTGGAATCTTGCTGACCAGTTGCTGCTTTGCTGACGCTGTGGCGTTTCTGTGCTGCAGCATTCTGGAGCCTTTGTACTGCGCGGGGTGTTCACTCAGCCTTGGCTACGTTTACAGATGCACACCTGAGGATCTAGACTACAAGAGGGACTTGTTTTGCCTCAGTGTTGAAGCCATTGAAAGGTGAGTTTGCTATATAAGTGAATAGCTCATAACTGAACTCTCAAAGTTGTTTGCAGAGAAACTGGTATGAAAACATTGGAATTAAATCAACACTGGTTACAGTTTTTAAGTAATAGTTTCTGACAATAAAGTCAGTGAAACCTGATTTATTTGGTATTGGAAAAGTCTGTCATTCTAAATTGTAGGAGAAAACACTGAGAACATTTTTCAGAGTAAAAATTTGCTCAGTTTTTTTTTAACAGATAAATTTAGTTTAATAGGATTTTTAAAAAGCAGCTGTGTGTATCAGTATATATTGCCCATTTTATTTTTTTCTCTGCTTTTTAGCCTCCTAGAATATCATGAAGAAATAGGAATTTCAAAAATAGGTCAGGAGAGAAGTCCCTTTGGTGTTCTGGAAAAGTAGACATACACAGTCCAACTATTTCCTTGAAGGTAGTGAAGGATTGTGTGCTTTTTATTTTCTTGAGAGATGCAAGGAAGTACCTTCATTTCTCAAGATTTCTGAAAAGTGTTAGGAGACAAGGTGAATCAGGGTCTGATGACAGATGTCTTAATGGCTATCTAATTATTAGCCTTTTTAAATGGGGAACAAAATTAATCAATTGACCCCAATGTATTTTCACTTATCCTGGAAAAGATATAACCCTCAAGACTTTTAAGATATCTAAGAAATCAGAAAGAAGAACAATTTAAGAAGAAAAGAAAGTGCCCACACTTGCATTTCTCGAGGTATTTTTGTCACTCCTGTTGAATTTCTTAGTTTTTTTCTTTAAAAAATTTAAAACAGTATTTTTATTATGTTATAATTTCTCACTCAGTTATTCTTTGATAACTGCAGTTTTGCCACCTTCTTTGAAAGTAGGTAGGTTTAGATCAAAATTATAAAATCTTCAAACTTTTTACTGTCCTTACACAAAAGAATAATACAGCAAGTACTGCTCATCATTGTAAAGCATGTAGGCTTGCCTGGAGAGAGGTCACGTCTGTCTTGTTTTTTTAATATTTAAATAGAAGACCCAGGCCCAAACAAATGTTGTTTCCTTTAATCTCCACGAGAACTTTACCGGGATTTGTGAAAATAAAGTGAGCGAGAGTACAAGTATAATAAAAGACACGGACTCTCAGTCCAGTAGGGTTGGTACAAAACTTTGCAAAGCGATGCAGATGTGTGTAAAAGAAAACGTGTGGGAGGTTCTCCCACAGCGGGGCATAATATTGAAGCAGTTTTTTCCTGAACAGTTGAATTTAAGGTAGTTACCTCTTGGGGCAGGATTTTAATGTCAAGGAACGTGGTTTGTGGTAGAAGTGCATGCTCTCTGTAATGTTTATTTGCAACTTTATAAATTACTCATTGCCATTTCATTTTTCCCCCTCATCTCATTTTTTCCCTAAGTAGGATGTTAATTGCCTTCTGTATTTTTGCTTCCTATGCCATTGTTCAGAAACAGGGTTTACAAGAGAAGATCGTTCTTATTTGACAAAAGAAGTGACACACTGGAATTGTCACATGTGATGAAAGACTACTAAAGAAATGCAAATGAATCAAGTTTTCTTTTGAGAAATACTAGCACTTTCTTCCTTGCTGTTTAGATTTATTTGGTTACCGAAGCTGGGCCTGTTTTCCTCCCGTTGCCAGGCCAGTTTTTCTGCTCGTGTGGCATTTTCTAAATCACAGCATCTCATCATCCCAGAGAGGGAAGCCAAACATAACTTACAAGTGTTGCAGTTGCCCAAATCTGGGTAATCAGGAGTTGACGCCACAAATTTACTGAAAGTCAAATTTGAAAATGCACATGTTCCTGAAAAGTTATATAAAGCAAAACAGCAGTGGCTTCTTAAGGATCTTTTTAAACTTTAAAATAGAATTTTGAACTGTAAGTGTTAATGTTTTGCCACCCGTGGAGGGGGGGGCCTATATGATTGGGGGGAGGGAAATAGCTCAGTGGTAGAGCTCATCCTTAGCATGCACGAGGTCCTGGGTTTAACCCCCAGTACCTCCGTTTACAAAACACACACACACACACACACACACACACACACACACACACACACACACACACACACACACACACACACACACACACACACACACAC